CCCCCCCCGGCCTGGAGACGAGCAGGTGATCTGCGGTGTGTCCGAGGATCTCTGAGGATTTGATGGATCAGGTTTTTGATGCTCTTCAGATAACACAGGCTTCTGAGTGGAATTATTTTCCCTGCATGTGGACTTGTAAGGTCATCCTGTTCCTCAGGCTGCTGTCTCTGACTATATATGAAGAATTTCACAGTGAAACCTGACGACTGTCCATCACGAGAAGAACATGTGACATGTGCAGCAGCTTGATTAAAGTGAGTGTGATGTGTGAGTGTGAACATGGAGAAAGTTTCCTCCTTCACTCCTCGGATCTGATTCCTGATCTCCACGGGATGAACCCTTCACACTCCACGATCTTTCCTCTGCAGTGAATATGAAGTCACCTGGGCCGTGGCTCCGCTCTGTAGTTTTATTAATGCTGAGTGATGCAGAGTTTGCTTTCTGCTGAGTCATGATCTGCACTGCGTCCTCACTAGATCAGCAGTTAGTGCAGACTCGCTGTTCATACAGTGTCTGCGTTTAGTTCTTGGACTGGAAGCAGCTGCAGACTCCATCAAAGAGGAGGTGAGTTTTTACTGTCGTGACACAAACACTAATAATCACAGTTAAACCGAGTGAACGTCACTTATTAGAAACTGGTTCGATCGAGTTCCTCATTCTTGTTTTCTCTCTGATCTCAGACTCTGCGAACTCCTGATGTTGAACCTGACGATATTAATGTGTCCACGCTGAGATCTGATCTGTGTCCAGCTCACGTCATTTTAAATGTTTATTTCACACTTAATACTGTTATGGAAGAAATATGATCATGTTTTGCTCTTATTACTTATTTTACAGCTTCATCTGACGGATTTGTTTCATGTCGAACATTTACAAACAATTTACAAATCCATCAGATGTTCTGTAAAAGAATTTAAACTAATTTAAACCTGTGTTTTCATCCTCACATTATTTCTTTTGTTTTAGAATAAGAAGCAGCAGATTCTTCACAGAGAGAAGACATGCCGCCCTCTCTCCTCTCGTCTCTCCACCACTTTTCCTCCTGTCAACACCGTGAGCGCAATGCATGATGGTATATATCTCTTGGCTTGTGCCGGTTGTACACTTCTCCTGATGCATTGTGGGATAGAATTAGTCCCCACATTCAGACAGCACTAGAAAACACTATGTGATGATGATGTTGATGATTTCAGACACAGCGTTGGACTCTGATTAGAAAGGTCACCTCATATGAGTCGGGGAAAATGGACACAAACCAAAATTACAGGGTGTTGATTCTATAAAGTTTGGTTTGTGTTGAGACGACCTTGAAGTTTCCTGCTCATCAGAAAAATCTGACGCTGTCGTCAAAGTGGAGCCGAGTTCCTGATTTCCTAAAAAGGTTCCTGGAAAATTCCTGGAGTCTTTAATCTGGTCTGAGATCAGCTTTCACCATCAAACAGGAGCCATGATAACATTTGTCTAAGTGTAAGACCCTGATCCAGATGAGGCACTACCCACAATCCACCAGCTGCATGTGACCTTTGGACCACAGCGGATTTCATAAGAGAGAATAAACGGCTTCAAACTTGACTGTGAGCGAACAGGTCTTTTGATCCTGAAGAGAAACAGTCGTGAGATCAGAGGAGTTTAAACCTTCCTTTATTTTGACACCGCGGAGGCGGAGCCTAAAGATGGTGGCGATGACAACGATGTAGCCTGGAACACGTTATAAGAACGAAGCCTGTTCATTGGTTCTTATTTTCAGTTTATTTACTGTTTGGTTTCATCTCCACCCACACTAACACGCCTGAAAACACGTGTCACATGACCGTTCGCGTTGACTGGTCATGTGCTGCAAACAGGAAGTAGATTGAGTAGATGTTGTTTTGAATCTGTTACATGATCTGTGTTTAAACTGCGTCTGATTTAAACTTTCACAAGAGGTCATGTGTTGAATTAAAGTTCTAGTGATTTCAGGTGTTTTATCTTGATGTTTTTATTCGTTTAACATTTCGGGTTTTTTTTATTTCTCTACAGTTAAAATGAACTTTGATGGAACTCGACGATGAAAAGGTGTGAAGAAGGTGAAGACGTACCGATGGGCAGGACGAGGAAGAAGGGCAGCCAGCAGAGGATGAACATGCCCACCACCACACCCAGCGTCTTGGCCGCTTTCTTCTCTCTGGAGAACTTGAGCAGTTTGACGGACAGCGTGCTGCGTCCGGCCGAGGCTCCGGGACAGAGCTCGTGGTTCTGCTGGTTCCTGCAGTGGATCCTCAGCGTGAGCTCGTTGGAGTCCTCCTGACGCTCTTTCATCACGCCGGCCTCCAGGTTCTTGGTGGTGCGCTTGGCCACGATGTAGACACGGCAGTACATGGCGAGGATGACAGCCAGGGGGATGTAGAAGGAGCCGAGCGAGGAGAAGAGGGTGTAGAACGGCTCCTCTGTGATCTGACACTTGGAGTCATCCTGCAGAGATCAGCATAAAGTTAAGTTCACGTGATCTGATCACATGTGACACGGCTCCCGTTTAAAACTGTCTCATGTTTGTTTTCATCCCGACTCGTCTCGACGCTGCTCGTTAACGTCTCATTGCTTAAAGTCCTCACAAAGTCAGGAAGCTCTGAAGAGGACGTCAACAGTTTCATGTTGATTCCACTTTAAACAGCCACTTTATTTATCCTCTAAATTCTCAGAGGAAGATAAAGTTGCAGACGGAGACGTTGTTATCTTAAGACTTTAAAAGCTTCACTAGAGGCGTGTGGTTAAACACAGGAACCTTCAACTCATCTAATAAACTTTACAATGAGACTGTAACGTCATGTGGCCTCATGCTATCGACGTTTAAGAGTATTTTCATAAACAAAAAACCTTTAAAATCCCTTAAATTAACCTCAGACTCTATGAACTCCCCGCTACGCCTCAGCCACGTTGGGTCTTGTACCTGTGACGGCGCCTGCTTCCAGCCCAGCAACGGGCCGATGGAGATGACGATGGAGAGGATCCACACGCCCAGCATGGCGAGCAGCGCCCGCTTCTCTGTGACGATCATTGGGTACTGCAGCGGGTATCGAACACCGACGTAACGATCGATGGAGATGACGCACAGGGACATGATGGACGCCGTGCAGCACAGGACGTCCACCGCTGCCCAGATGTCACAGAAGATCCGTCCAAACACCCAGGAATCTAAAACCTGTGGAGACAGGAACAACCCCACGTCACAGTTCATGAGTTCTGACGACGCATAAACACCGACTGAACCCGAGCTTCTCGACGCCCAGACACTTCCTGTTTCTACGATACGTCACTGCTCCACTTCCTGACGACCACCACCCCCCTCCAGCCCTGGAGGTGGCCCCTGAGCTCTCGGGCCCCTGAGTCCCGGTTCATTAAAGATCCGTCCATGTCTCTTAGTCTATTCATAGTCTTTCCTTTCTTTGTTTTAATCAGTTCAATGTTTATTGATGCTATAATTAATAACTGATCAGCTGTCGAACAGAAACCATAAAAATAAAATTATATCTTTAACATCGTCCTCATCAAACCACCATAACTGACCGATGACCCCCCCACTGACCTCCAGGGTGGCGGACACCGGCAGCACGGTGGTCCCCAGCAGCAGGTCAGCGATGGCCAGGTTGATGATGAAGTAGTTGGTGGGGATCCGCAGGTGTCGGTTACAAACCACCGACAGGATCACGAGCACGTTCCCGACGATGGCGAACAGGATGAAGGAGGCCAGCACCATGCCCACCGGCACCGCCCGGCTCAGGTCCAGCGGGGCGGCGCGGTGCCCGGAGCCGTCGCTGCGGTTCGAGGTGAAGTTGGAGTCCGGCAGAGGGGGCTGCGTCCCGGGGTGAAGGTCCGCAGAGGAGTCGTTGGTCCACAGACTCATGGTGACTGTTCAACTGGACCTGGAGCCGGGGCAGCTCGGCTTCACTCGCCTGGTCTCTCCGGTTCTCTCCTCACGACTTCGAAACATTTAAATTCACACATTTTCCTTATAAACCCACAAAAAAGAAAATCAGCCAAGACTTGGACGTGTGGATAAAAGCGTCCTGTCCGCGGTGAGGTCCCTCTGCTCTGCCGGAGAGCAGCGCTCCTGTCCGGCTCGGGACAGCAGCAGGTGGAGGCTCCGGACACACACACGATCCGCAGCCGGCCGAGGGAGCTCCTCCTCGGGTCAAAGTGTGAGTGAGGAGCCGGTCAGAGAACCGAGTCCTTTTATGGTCCAAGTGTCCAATGTGGGAAAGTTTGGACTGAAGAAAAAAACAGATGAGTGCGTCATAGATAGATAGATGGATGGAGAAAGAGAGAGAGATGGATGGAGAGAAGATAGATAGATTGATAGAGAGATGGAT